GCCTCGATCGCATCTTGCAGCGCCTATATATACAAATTAGCAATGAAGCATCCGGAATATTCAAGTAAATGCGCGCAAGGCGACGAGTGTTCGAGTGTAGATTTTCTAGAAACTTAGTTCTTCGGATGGCGCTGTCGGTTGAAAGATTTGTGATGTCATTTTCTGCAAAGCTCCCCTCGCTCTCGTTCCTGACACTAGATGGCGCTGGTGTATGACGTTGACTTATTCACGCAACACTGCCCCCTCCTAAGGCATGCTCGTCCCGAGCATTATCGGTCCCATAATAACGCGCCAAGCGATCCACATGGACGATCTTAGGAGTCCCTCTTGCGCCTTTCTGTATCCGGTAGGTCACATCGTTGATCCTGGTTACAATCCGGTACGGGCCATCCCATTTAGCTTGAAGCTTAAGAGATTTCCCTTTGCTGCGGACTGGATTGTGCAACCACACTAATGAACTTTCGTTGAACCCTTTATTGTTCATTTTGCGGTCGTACCGGGTTTTCAATTTTCATTTTCTCAGACATTTGCTGGCCCGATTGTCTGACGTGCTCATAAATGTCATTCATTTTGTTCCGCAAGTCATTTGCATAATCGGTTGTACTGCGTGGGGCATCAGGTGATATCCCGGTGATGAGGTCTGCAGGCAGCCGTAATTCTCTTCCAAAGTTTGCGAAAGCTGGTGTCACTGCTGTACTTTCGTGAACAGAACTTCGATATGACAACAAAAACGGTTGAATGTGCTTGTCCCAATCTCGTTGCCGATTGTCTACAACTTTTCCTCTCCAATGTCTGATTAAATCCATCAGATTGCGGGTGATAAGAAGTCGTTCTTGTTTTATGAGTACCCATAACTCGGCAAGTTTCCTGGAATATTTGAGACTCGAAATTCCTTCCTTGATCGCTGTGAATCTCTAAAGGTACACCAAAACGACAGAAGACTTCATGAACTAGCTTATCAGCAACTGTTGAAGCTTCTTGATTTTGAATGGCGAAGACTTCCGGCCACTTAGTGAAGTAATCCATCACAACCATGTAATACTTGTTACCGCTTTCACTCTCCGGAAACGGTCCCGCCACGTCAATGGCTATTCTCTCTCATGGTGCACCAACATTGTACAACTTCAATGCACCTCTACTACGAGTCTGAGGTCCCTTTACAGCCGCACAACTTGTACATTTGCGACACCAGTCCTCGACATCGTTTCGACAGTGGACCCAATAAAACCGTTCTCGGATCTTCAGTAGAGTTCGTTTAACTCCCAGATGGCCTCCGGAACAATCATTATGGTACAGCTGTAGAACATCCGGTACTTTAGCTTTAGGGACAACCATATGCAAATGACAGCTGTCTCCCCCTAACATTTTCCCATTTACGGCACAGAACTCCATCCTGAAGCAGCAAGCTGTCCCACTGGGCCCAATAGCTTTTAGTGGTCGAACTCATTGCTGAGACGTCGCTCCACTTAGGCTTGGGAGCACTGGCCTTTATCCATTCCAGAATCGGCTTGATGTCCGGATCTTCCTGCTGTGCATGTTGTAAGCTGTCCTTCCATTCGTTGCTGAGGTGGTCCGTCCTGAGCATCCTCACGGATACCTCTTCCTTACTCTCTTGCCTAGTACAATGGTTGCAATCTTCAGGACAAGGTCTTCTTGACAATGCATCTGCGTTGCCGTGAGATTTTCCGCTGCGATGTTCGATCTCAAAGTCGTATTCCTGCAGTAGTTCAATCCACCTCGCAACTTGTCCTTCTGGATTTTTAAACTGCAATAGCCATTTTAGTGCAGCATGGTCAGTTCGTAAGTGAAATTTTCGTCCCAGAAGATATTTGCTAAAATGCTGCAACGACTTTACCACAGCGAGCAATTCGCGTCTTGTGACATAATAGTTCCTTTCCGGTTTTGACAACGACTTGCTGAAGTACGCTATCACGACCTCGTGGTCACCATTCCGTTGAGACAACACACCGCCAAGTCCTATATCACTTGCGTCTGTGTCAACTATAAATTCTTTGCTTGCATCAGGGTATCCCAAAATAGGTGCTTTGCACAGACGGTCCTCCTGGAATGCGATATTGCAACTTTCTTCCCAGCAGAAATGTCGCTTCTCCTCGGTTAGCTTGTGCAGAGGTTTGGCTATATCTGCAAAGTTCTTCACAAATCGCCGGTAATAGGAGCACAAACCCAAAAATGCTCTAACCTGCGTCTTGTCTTTTGGAACCGACCAATCCTTGATAGCGGCGATTTTATCTGGATCTGTGCGGATACCTTCTTCCGATACTACAAACCCCAAAAAGTTAACTTGCCGTTGGAATAGTGAACATTTCGAAATTTCGGGCTCAACTTGAGGTTGGCACTCTGAATCTTCATGAGCACGCGTTCCAGGTTTTGAAGGTGTTCCTCAAACGTACGGCCTACGATGATGATGTCATCCAAGTAGACCAGACAGGCATCGCCAATTAGCCCGGTAAGTACAAGTTCCATCAGCCTTTCAAACGTTGCTGGAGCATTGCACAACCCAAACGGCATTACTTTAAATTGCCACAGACCCTTTCCCGTCGAGAACGCAGTTTTCTCCTTGTCCTTAGGGTCAATTTCAACTTGACAGTAGCCACTTTTTAGATCCAGCGTGCTAAACCACTTTGAATCCACGTAGCGAAGGTGTTGTAGCTACTACGGGAGCTGTTGTTCCATCCCCAAGTTTGAGGTCGTCCAGCGTTTTCTTCACGTCAGCCATTACATTGTCAACCCGATTGTTTACTTGGTCGATTCGGGTTTCGGCCTCCGATAGGCGGTTGTCATGTTGAGCAACCTTATCCTTCACCTCCCGTATCTCTTTTCCGAAGATAGCGTGAAGGTCCTTCACGCTATCTTCACTGCTCTTCTAAACGACGGGCCTGTTCCTCCTGCCGGCGGGCCTGTTCCTCTTGTCCGCTCTGCAGCTGCTCTTTCAACTGACGGGCCTGCTCCTCCTGTCGGCGAGCCTGCTCCTGCAGCATCACCATCAGAGCACCTAAGTCAGGTGCTGCAGATGTAGGAGCTACCGACGGGCCTGCAGCCGGTGGCTGGCCCTCCGACGTCTGCGGCGTTGCACCACCAAATCTTCGTTGGTCCGTCTCCTGCTGGCGTTGACTTCGGGTACGGACACCCTCCGTTTCCTCCTTAGGTAAAATCGGCATGATTTTATCCCACTCTCTGACCTCTCTGACACCAATTGTTACGAGCTTGAGGTTCGTGACAATAAAAATTGCCGATAAAATTACCTAAATTAACAGTTTAATTTACTTTACACAAATTAACTTTATTCCGCTCCGAAGCTTCGCTTGTCTCGCCAAATCCAATACTGCCTCGATCGCATCTTGCAGCGCCTATATATACAAATTAGCAATGAAGCATCCGGAATATTCAAGTAAATGCGCGCAAGGCGTCGAGTGTTCGAGTGTAGATTTTCTAGAAACTTAGTTCTTCGGATGGCGCTGTCGGTTGAAAGATTTGTGATGTCATTTTCTGCAAAGCTCCCCTCGTTCTCGTTCCTGACACTAGATGGCGCTGGTGTATGACGTTGACTTATTCACGCAACACTATATTAGTAACTAAAACGGCCAAAAAAATCAATTATTGAGTTTTTCTGTCAAGAAATTCTCAATAGTTGCCCGGAGTCAGGAAGTTGGCGGTGTCTCATCCCCGTGCCTCGGAAAGCACGTAAAGCCGTTGGTCCTGCACCTGATCTCTCTCCGGTCGTGTTGATTTACCGTCCCGTCGGATTATGAGAGTAAGGGAATAGAGAGTGCACCTGTGCTTGCGCATATATACTTGGGCACTATAATTCTGTACTGCGCCAATGGCTAGTCTCCGTTGAGGCTGGCCGCCGTGATCGAAATTCGGTCTGGAGGACATTATTATTACCTAGTTAATATCAGTTTAGATTATACTGATCAAACTATCTACTTATTTTTACTTGGTAATAAGACTCTTGCGCGTGAACTGCTGTGTTTCGCTTTACAAGAGAAAACAGCTAGTGTTTGGAAGAGACCTTCGTTTAATTTGGCTGCAGGTCTCATTCGACTGCATTAGCCACTTACTATGCTGGACTGTAAGCATGTCCATTACAAAAACATTTATTTACATAACATATGAATAATGTTGGAACATTCTTTCAGGAACTATCACATTCAGCTGGAGGTCGCGTGCTACTATGTACGCAATATGTTTTTATATTGTAGCTACGGTGATTGTTATAAACGTGGGCTACGAGCGGATCATGATCTTGCAATCAATAAGAAAATTCGACGATTATATTTACGCCATTCTGTTTATTGTTTTCCTTGTGCCTCATTTTTGGATTCCATTCGTTGGATGGGGAGTCGCTCACCAGGTGGCTATTTATAAAACTAACTGGGGAAAATTTCAGGTAATTTAATTTAGTATTTCCGTAGCATCTATGGCTGAGGGAAATTGAAGCAGATAATGCATTTCCCTGAGAATATCTCACACGTCTGCTTAGTTGCTCTCTCTCTCTCTCTCTCTCTCTCTCTCTGGATTTGAATATTTTTGCAAGATCACAAGCATTGAAATATTGTTCAGTTGATGTCACGATCGTGTTTCATATATTGTGGAATGCCTATGTTAAGCAGTGGTCATGTGAGGGGCTGTATTATGTTATAATATAATGCTAATATTTGAATGCGTGGAAAATAAAGTTCTAATTTCTGAGGGGGATATGAAGCAGATATTCCACCGCGCAGATCCAGTGTTTTATGATTTTTCTTCCTTATTATATTTATATGTTTGTCGTTATAATAATATATCTTTTTTAGGTCAGATATTATAGAGTGACGGGCGAAAATCTCAAATTTCCAAACTTAAAGTTATCCATTATGATCATCAGTGTTGGCTGCCTCCTTCTCGCAGTATGTTTTCTTCTTAGTTTGTACGCTCTGTTGGATGGATTTCTATTGAAGCACATCATTGCCTATATCCATATTATAACCATGATTAATATGAATTGTGCTCTATGGTACATCAATTGTAAAGGCATCAAGATCGCATCCCAAAGTCTTTCTGAATGCTTTCGTAGAGTAAGTAATTAGCAGATAAGCACAAGACAAAACTAATATATATATATATATATTACTAGCTTGCCAGGCAGACGTTGTTCAGCCCTTTTTGACGACCTTTTGTCATGTTCTATTAAAAATCCTTAAATTCGCAAAAAAATTGTGGGTCACTCATGGGCAAAACAACTATCCTATCTCTCAAGTTGGACCAAACTGCACACGGTGTGTAAATTTGATTAAAATCGGTTAAGTAGTTTAGGAGTCCATCGCGGACAAACAACGTGACACGTAATTTATATATAACAAGATAATTATAATTGTTTTTTTTTATATAATTGTATTTACTTTCAAATAACAATTTGTAAGTAAAAACAATTTACAAATGAAGAAATACAAGGTTGGAAAATACATGATTGTATAACAGCAATTTTTTTTAAACAAAATAGAGACTGCTTAAAATTTCAGTAACATTACGAGAGACTTTTTTTAAATGTTACTTTCACACTAGGATTTTCGTTTCTATTAGATATATTTGACATAAGTACATAAATTTCACAAGGATAAACATCCAGACCCAGATCCCAGAACAATTATTTGTAGGCCAAACAAATACTTGTTCCTCATTATGCTGCAACTCATTGCTAAGCCACTATGCTATGAAGCCCTCTTCTTTTCAGCCTTGTTAATATTTGGCACGTGGCGATTATTATACCGCCTATGGATGCCATAAACGATCCAGTTTACCGTCAACTTATAGTGCATCCATATTGACCACTCACGTTCAAATTCGCCATCAAGCTTGCATGATGCCGCACCAGTTGAAACCATGGCGTTTCTCGCTTATTGCTCCGACTAACGTTATGCATACTTGACCGCTCATACATACGTTCAAGTTCACATGACGCTGCAGCTTGATCAAATCGATAGGATGGACATTCAATTTTTGCTTCAAGTAGGCTTGTCATGCACACTGATATCCATACACCGTCTATTTTATTGGACTCCGCTTCAAGCGCGATGTTTACTTGACAGTAAACTGGATCGTTTATGGCATCCACTAGCGTGGCTATTACTGTAAATGGAGGATTTACTACATGAGACTACTTACGAGAGTCTCGTGTTCATCTGTGGACTTCAAGGCCTGATGAAGAAGAAAATCTGGGGAAAATATGGGATACCCATATAAATAATTCAGTGTGAATATTGTTAAATATAGAGCCTGAAAAGGAGTCTGAAGTTTCCAGTAGTCAACGCATTAAATTATTCTGAGTAACTATTTACTATAACTGATAGAATCAGGCGTTACTTTGCGGAAATCCATTATAATAAAGATATTAATTAATTTGCAACCTTCCGCTAACTAAATACTATAATGTGTCTTACCTGGATTGAAGAGCACCTGCTGAAGAGCGGCTGACCGCTAAGTGGCTTAGCGGTCAGCCGCCGTAGAGTCTACATTATCTGAGGACGCCTCGTGTAGAGGCGAAACACGTGTCGTATTATCGTCGATAGTGTGTCATTCCTGGAGTAGTGGTGTTGGGAGTAGTGGTGCCGGGAGTAGTAGTGCTGGGTTTAGTGGTGTCGGGAATGGTGAATGCAATTGAAGGAGGGCGGGAGGTGCTCTTCAATCCATGTAAAACACATTATTGTATTTAGTTAGCGGAAGGTTGCAAATTAATTAATTTCTTTATTAACTATTTACTGTAATAAACTATAACAGGACGTGGACAGAGAATGTACGGCTAAGCTGATATCGCGGTATCGCTACCTGTGGCTTAATCTATCGGAACAGCTACAATTACTTGGAAACGCTTACGCAAGAACCTACTCCACATATTGTCTCTTCATGTAAGACTCTTTCTTATTTTGAAGAAATTTAGTTTATATTACCACTTAAGTATCACCATCAAAGGAAAATTTAATGAAATGTTGGGAAAAAATATAAATTTCTAAAGCTTAGATTACTTATTATTATAAGTAGCAAAGTATTGAAAATACTTTAAATTTCAAGTAAAAACATTTGAAATTGTGTGTGTTACTAATGTACACACAGCATCCACTTGCTATCAGATGGAGTGTGTGCTCCAAATATAAATATAGCGAAATCCCGCGTTTTTCATTACTTTAATTAAATAAAATACGAATATTTGTTTTCTTAACGTCAAAGATAAAAAAATCGTAAAATGATATGTCATTTTTCAAATCTACTACCGTTTCAAAATGAGGTCTTGACTTGAAAAGAAATGGCAAAAGAACCTTCGCGGTTTTCGTTTTTTTTTTTAAGGTAAATATTACAATAGCTTATATCAGAGGAATTAGACTGACAGAATGAGAATCATTAACATCCATCGGTAATTGAAGGTTGTTCTATGTTACACGCAAACAAGAAGGTAATAAAATTTGGAGCTTACTGGTGCATATCGCATCCGGGTAAACCAGCCCTCACAATTATGATGCATGTGACAGCCATCGTCCTCTTAGATCATATTAAAGGGACGTGCAAACACAGAGCCACTTATCGTCCTAACCTGCCGTGCTCAATGTAAGGCTTATAAGTTATAAGATCAGCAGTGCGGTTATGTAATTTTATTAGGAATTGTATTTGGTTTCGTTTTGACGTTTGATGCGAGGTTTTATTGTATCGTGTAAATGTATTACTGACGATTGTAAGCTGATGTCTTTTTATATTCTTGTAACTAAGTTTAGTTTACAAAGTGTTCCCATAATAAATAAAACAACGCAGTTGCGCATGGTGTTTATTATCGGTAATGAATAACACCGTAGTAAAACAAATCGAAAATAGGTTAGAACACGGGGGACACACTCAAACTCAACAGGAAAAGCCGAAAGCCGACATCTTGTATTTTGTTGGTTTAGGCGGAAATCGAACACAAGACCCGCGGCATATACACCGCAATACTAGCGTTTTGTAACGTGCGCACCCTGTTAAAACTTCCGGAGCAAGATTATATTCGGAAGTTGTCGAAATCGGAAACTAACAGGATTATTTACATTATATGAGTACCATTTGTTATGTCGAAGTGACTAAATAAAATTAATATATATATATATATATATTAATTTTATTTAGTCTTAGTATTTTGGTTCAGGTTTGTCAATATAACCATCGCAATCTATGGCGCATTGTCGGAAATCGTGGACCACGGGTTCGGTTTCAGTTTTAAAGAAATGGGGCTGTTCGTGGACGCCGTCTACTGCTCTACGCTGTTGTTCATCTTCGCTGACTGTTCGCACAAATCTACCCTTAAGGTATGCAAATACGATAATAAAGACAACTATATCATGTACGGCCTTACATGTAGTCGTTGATACTTAAGAGAGAGAAAGAGAGGGAGAGAGAAAGAGAGAGAAAGAGAGAGCGAGAGAGAGAGAGAGAGAAAGAGAGGGAGAGAAAGAGAGAGAGAGCAACTCTAAGCATTAAAAATACGCTAGTTTTGTCACTTTCTTGTTTATCTGCCTGTGTTTCGTACCGGGTGGAATCTAGCAACTCAAATTTCGAGCACTTCCCGAATAGCTACCCGACTGGAACTTGCAGGGTAGCTTTTTTATATTCGCAATTTCGATTTTTATATTTTTTTATTCGCTTCGATTTCGTGTATGTCTGTTCGGACGAAATTTAGTAATTGATTTTATACTAACTTCCCGATGAGCTAGAGTCTTGAAATTTTGAAAATAGCTCAGAATCAATGTAGGAAACATATTAACTATATTAATTTTTTTAGTACAAAATTAAAAAAAATCTCTTGTGTAATTTATGGCTTCACTATGAGTAAAGCCGATAATCATTTGCGTTTACTCTATAAGGAAATGATAAGTATCTGTACGACTAAATAAATTTATTGACTACTGAAACGAGGAAATACCTTTATAAAGTCTTCTAGCTGATTATGATTTCCTTTGCAATTATGTCAAAACCTCCTCTATGCACGGGGCCATGCCCGCCAGTGAATTATTGTGGATGATCGTAATACCAGATGTCTCGCATCTTTTACCCTACTTTCCGTCACCGGTCTGGATATTGTATGTGTAAACAAGATGGTTAAACCTGTCGAAAGATTTGAGATCTTTCTAGCATTTTCCAGTCGTTTCTTGCGTTAAGGAAACAGTGATATTCTTCAATCTAATCGTGAATATATTAGGTATACAAGGTAATGGTTAATATATTATATGCTTAGGATAATACTATTTACTTGAAGTAGTTTTCCACGAGTACCGTGTAGCGACAGTGTAATGGTGGCCACACACGGTCAGTTAGTCATCAGTCGAACTGATATCTGTTCACAGGATAAAACGGGATGATGGACTCTTTATTTATTTAGTATTATTGTATGGCTAGTGGAAGTGGGGTCAGATAAGCTGTCACCAATTTCTTGCATTTGTCAGTGCATCCAAAACTCAAAACCGAGCTTCTAAATACTCGCTTATAAGATTTATAGCAATTTGGGAAGTGTTGCCAAGACGAATGCCTATTCTATTAACACTATAATTACCCTTCATTTATATTTTCTAGCAATATTAGTATGCTGCCATTGCCGAAAAGATTATCATCATCAAAATATTTTTTACCGCGGTGGCTTCTAAAAGGAGGTTCCTTTCTTGTAATCTTTTTCTCTTCAGCCGTCTAATCTGTTGAAGTACGTCAGTTTTGTGGGTTCTACGTCCGTTGTGGACAGTATAACGCAGAAAAATCTCTGTCCTAGCATAGCTCTCTCCCTGAGCAACTTAAAGCGTTGTCTTACAGCCAGCAGTAAAGAAACACGTGTCAGTTCCTTACAGTTCCATAGTTCATCACCGGCAACGCACTGGATGTACACTTTTTTTTTAAATTTCAGAAATATTGTTAAATATTAACAATAATAAATATATATTTGGAATAATCTGCATTAGTAAATAAAATACCAGAGCAACTATTTCACTATACTACTAGGCAAACTATTAGAAAATGCAGGTTACAACTTCCCAGACTCTTCGCCGACAGCAAATAGTTGTAGAAACTGTCCAAGGAGGTCGCCTTACCGCGCAAATGTGAAACGTGTTTCATACATGAATGTTAGCTACTTTGAAGGATGTCTACGTGTATTGCGTAGTTGTCTAAAATTGTCGTATGTTACAGAGAGTATTTAATTCCCTACTTAATTTTATTCTTTACTTAATAACCATGGCTATCAAAAGTCCACCGCTATAGCCTCCCCCGCACATTGCCTCATAAGATATTTGCCTTCTTTGCCATGCTTAGCAATCAGATAGGCAACCGCAGTTTGTTATTTACTTTAAACTATTGTTACGAGCTTAGGGTTCGTGTATCGTGACAATAAAAATTGCCGATTGAATTACCAAAATTGACACTATTTACTGAACACCAATTAAAACTTAAATCACACTAATAATTATTCACACTTAACACTTAACACTTTATTTCACTTTATTTCATTCCGAAAGCTTCGCTCGTATCGCCAATTCAATACTGCCCCGATTGCGGCTTTAAATGGCTTTATATGGACTTTTTCCACCGAAACATCCAGAATATTCCAGCAAATACCGGCCCAGACTGACCAGGTGCAGAAAGTTCGAGTGTGGGGCTTTCTAGAAACTTAGTTCCTCTTTTCGATAATAGATGGCGCTAGTGCCATCAACTATGGCACGCAACACTATTATCGTACAGATGCTGTTACTCATCTCTTGGTAAAGTTAACCTCAGTCGCCTCTTAGGACTCTCATTGTCTGTTGTTATCTGCCATTACACGGCTAACATTACCTACATTACTTTAAATGATTTCACACAATGATGATGTTCTGACTGATTTTGATAATTAATAATCTAATTAATAATTTTGTGTTTTAGCACAAATTTAGATTCAGGATAGCATTCTACCTTAGGTCTGAGGCTAGAATCATTTGATCTGATGTTGTACCACGCGGTAATTCTGTATAGTGTTAATTTTATAAATACATTAAACTTATAATTTTGATTGCAGGTCGCAGCGGGTGTTCAGGATACGCTTCTATCTATCGATGTTTTGTCAGTAGATAGACCAACGCAAAAAGAGGTTTTTAAATTAATGTTAAACTTTACATACGTAGTAAATCCAAGCTGCAGCTATATTATGGTTGTAGCACAAATGGGTCGACTCGATCGGGGAAGGACCACGCTCTCACGGAATACCAGCGTAAAATAGCAGCTTAATACTGATGTGTTTCGCATGATGAGTGTAGAGATCCGGAAACCCTTTTTTACTGGAAATTAGGCATTCCATATTAGTCCTCAGATGTGACAATGCACCTACATTTTGATTCTCAATCGACGATAGGTGTATTCGTAGAAGTCTATGGGCTAGAGCAATCATTGTGACTGTGTGCTCGTTTGTCACCCATGTTCTTTAAAAAAACCTTATATAGTGATAATAGCGATGTCCACCTTAACAATGTGAAGCTTTAGCAATTGCACGGGAGATATATAATATTTAAAAAAAAACCTGTCCGATCCATGAGGGCAGTGGCGGTGAAAGAATATTATCTACCCCATATGGTCCCATGGATGTCGTAATAGTTGACAGAGGGAAACTAAAACAGGAAATGAGCATCAGTATCTTCCTGATTGTCAAAAACTGCGGTTTTCAACCTGACAAGAGTGGCAACTACGGCCATATTCCCTTTATATGACAATCTATTGGGGAGCCCTATCTTCAACGAGTCTTCTTCAAAAAAAGTTCACTACTTTTATAGGCTGTAATGGATAGGTTAAGGTAATGGATATGATTCTGTTCGTGTAATACTTTTATGAGAATAAATATAAAAATACCCGCAAAACATAAAATAAGATTTTATTAAGTGGGGAAACTTACATGGCAACATATACCTTCGGGTAACATACCGCCACAAAATTGTTACCTTCGGCCAAAAAACGCACCTTCGGCCGCACATTCGTCGTTTTGCAAGGTTTGGCCGATGTCGAAGTTTTGATCAAATAGCCAAAAACGAAAGAATTTTTGCGAATAACGTTAGCGTTTATTGTAAGAACACCGATATACGATACCATTCATACAAAGAAATGAACATACATGATAATTTGATGCATTACAGAGTTTTGCGATTGCTTTTGCTACATACAGAAAAGCTGCGGTAATTCAGGGGTTATGCGCTCGTATTTCACAGTTGCGAGCAAAATAATTCTATCCCTGCCGCACCAATGAAATTGTTAATTTCAATTTGAGTGAAAATTTACTACTAACAAATTCAAAATTTAACGTACGACGGTGAAAGAAAACATTATGAGGAAAAACCTGCATGTACGAGAAATTAAATAAAAAATATTTCTAAGTCCGCCAACACTCATTGGGGCAGGTATCTAGGCGATACCCTAAAAGCAAGTGAGAGGCCTGTTCCCAGCTGTGGGACGAATACATATACTGTACTTTACTTACAGAAGGTTACACCTAGGACTTGTTATACTGTCTATGCAGTGTCTAGTATACAATTAAAGTAATATACAATTAAAACACCGATACATGTGAAACACCCGCGATCCTGTCACACTAATTTATTTTATTTTTATATACACATACACTCGAACAACATTATTCTTCTTTTGGGACATACCTCACATGTCGGTCACCTCGTGAGCCAGATATTTTGTATTTACGCGATGGTTGGGGCCGTCTAGGATATGATCACAAGTAGGAAGTCTGCAGTTTGTGATCATATCCTAGACGGCCCCAACCATTACATCAGATTTGATAGACCACAAATCCTCGCGAAAGAACACCGATTCCTACCAAGGATGATACGTGAGGCTATTGAAATTAAAAAACATCCTAATTTCAATAGAGAAGGAGGCTGGGTACTACCACCTGCTTGGGATCCTATAATCAATAAAATTAAAACTAAACCCAAGCATACCACTGCAAGACCTCAAGACATAGTCAGTTCGTTTTGCATAGATCGGACCATAAACAATAATTAAAAAAGCTGAAGGTACTCCGGGTTTAACGGTGACATCGGGACGTCAGTCATCTCAGTCCCCCGTGACCATGGGTGCTGGAAAGCGTCCGAAACGTCGGGAATTAAAATAAAAAGTAAAAATAAACGCGATAAAATCCGTAAAAGTAGTTTTAATCAGATATTTTGTTTTCTTATCTGTTTCTGCTTTCGAGAGGTTCTCGTCATATGGAATGGTAATGTCGACCAAAAATATCCTTGACTGTAGGCACACCGGGCGGTCCATCAGCACAATATCAGGCTTATTCGCACTTCCAGCAAGTACTTGTAATAAGGCAGTTTCCGATTCACGAGACCGTATTTTAGAGCGAGCTTCTGGCGTAGAACACTGGGTACTAGGTTGTGTCTGTGCAAAGTACTCAGAATTAGAAAACGCCGAACAACCGGAGATGACTTGCTTAAGTGACTCACCGGGGTGGCGACAAGCTCGACAGATGTCAACGATGCGATCCCTTAGGCTGTATCTCAAATAGTTTTTGATCTTAATAACCTGATCCTGTATCGCACAGACAAAACCCTCGGTTTCCCCAAAGAGGTCACCGAAACATAGCCAGTGAAAGGAGACAACTGTATCTCCAAAAGGCTGAAGTAGAGCCTTGTAGAACCTCCCATAGATCTCCTTCTCCTTCCATACAGTCTCCCGGTCGGAAATGCTCTGTACTGTCGGGTCTTGCCATTGCTCGTTGGCTAAAGATAGAAGGGTAAGCCATTTATTACAAGAAGTGACGTCTTTATAGAATGAATCATCCGATTATGGGTGAGCTATGTAGAGCGAACTTAAAAAGCCACGCCCTCCATGTTTCCGCGGCAAGTACAACCTCATTACCGACGATTTTGGATGGTATATCCTATGGGACGTCATGGTAGAGCGGACTTTTCTATCCAGGGCGTTGAGTTCAGTTTGAGTCCACCTAACTATGTCAATGGTATACAGTGACCCAACCGTTATATGCGTGTGTCTTATTCACAACCAATGACCAAGACAATGAGGACTGGTTCCTTGGTTCTACGATCACCGTTCCGACATCCATTTTGAGCGCGCGACATCACCTGCGTTCAGGTGACGTGATTCTTGTTCTCAAAATGGATGTTAGTGCCTTGTATATGGTGGGTAGACACGTGATGGGGTGGTATTTGCTCGAATCTGTGGTAACCTGTTCCTTAGGAATCAAATGTGTGATCTCAGTAGTGAAGAGATTTGGGAGCAACTTCAGTCGAGAGCCTCTTCAAACTGTTGGGCGAACACAATGAACCACTTCAGCCAGTAGTAAGTCCCGTTGAGTCCCGGACTCTTCCAGTTCAGGGCCCTTGGACAGCCTCAGCTACGTCTTCCGGCGTTATGATGACAAGGTCCATGGGTGTAACAATCACACACTGCCTCACAACAACTTCCGTCTAAGGGTCTTCGCTATGGTTTCCGGATTCTGACCACAAGTGCACTGTTGTATTCTGGTGCAGCCGACACCAGAATGCAACAGTGTCGGCCTGATTCGGTACTGGGCCAGTTTCACACATACCATTGGTCACCCCAATGATTTATAGAGCCCCTTCTGATCACACTGGAAGAGACGATTCTGGTTGAACCGCCGTGACCGAAAAATCGTCCAATCCACTTGGCCCAGGCAGCGATTTTTTCGCTCCGGTCATCTATATGCTCCGTTAGTTTCTGTGTGATATCCTGCTGGGGCAAACTGATATTTGTCCTAGCAAATGCTATTTTAACAGTGCGCACAACTTTCGGCCTATTAAGCTTGTCGGCTCTTGCTTTTATAATATGGTCCTCAGTTCTTTTTCTCAAGGCTGAGATAGCGCTACTTTATCCCGATATAGAACGCGGCCAGCCGTGGAAAACATGGCGGTATACATGGGCAGTCTATTAGCAGCATAAACATTATTTTCTAGACTGGAATGAATCTTTTTCAGATTTTGTTGTACCATTTTTGTTGAAAACAGTGGTTTGGTTTCACTTATAGAACGTAAATTCAATGAAAAATAACAAAATTTTTTTAAGTAAAACCTCAATTTTTCCTTAATTCCTCAATTTTTGCCTGTCCTAAGCTAGTATGAAAGTATGAAGGAAAAGTTACATCACAGGTTAAGTGTACCTATTGTGTTTTTATTGGAATGTTGTGTAGGTAGCTAGGGCGGGCGGTGATCTTTACAGTGATTAAGTCACTCGAGCGCAATCCATGAATTTACGAAAATAGCGCTTTTTTTTTAAAATTCGTTTCATGTACCTATGGTTTCAGTAACAATGGTGTTTACACTTACACCTTGTATAGTGTATCCATTATATTCAATGGGTAACCTAGGAATGATAAATTATAGTGATTTGTGAATATTAAATCGCATTATTTTGTGATAATTTGTAGGAGTAATCAAGTCGCGACACAAAATAATGGAAAATAAGCTTGTTGACCAAGTTTCACTGCGGAATAGCTTTAGATTAGATATAACTTACTGGTGGTATATAAGACCGAGCAGTTGCGGTCATGGAGTCAGTGTACGGTCGTTGGACCGTAGTGGATCTACCAATACTACGTTTGTGTTACTTCAACGCATCAATGGTCATGGACTCACATAAGTGTCTCTGCTTATATGGGTTGACGAACATAATTCACCATTTGTGATTTTGTTGTGCGGGGAACGTCGTACGTGACATTTTGTTATTATAAATTTATAATGGTGCAATGCAGCATAATCACTTGTAAAAACTCATCAAGCACGTGTAATTATACTAATAAAGGCATAACATTTCATCAATAAGTTGATTGTTCACTAATTATCATTGTTTTAATTAATTTACATCTAGATGAATACTTTACCATGACATTTACCTTTGCAAACTCATTTATTATTTTTCGTATTCTACAATTACCATTGATGCTTTTGTTCTACAGTAATACGCGACGTTGACAAACTTGCCAAGCAATGTAATGTGAAACATTAGGTATCATTGTGCATTGCGTGTGTTTATAATTCGGTAAGATGTGACGACATCGGTTTTGGAAGTAATCGAGCGCTAATTATTATTGCTACTATTGTCTTATTATTACGATTTCTATGGTATTACTACTCGCCACTCTTCCCTCAAGAAGAGAGTCATCACTCTACATCGTCTTTAATAATAACACATGCGATGATGGAAAGAGAAAATCGCAATCGATTGATCATTTTCTTGAAGCTGAATATAAAATAAAAAAGAGGAAGCTGTTATCGTCAACCGTAGCACGAGCCGCTAAAGATGGTGTATCATTCATTTCTACCAATTCTGACGACGGAGAATACGATATTTAGAAGCTATCCAAGATTTTAACTACTGATCATTGGAAACATGCTTCCACGAGGATTAAATAAAGACTAATAAAGATAGCATCTACGACAACACAATCGCCCTCGTATACAATATTACAAAGACAATAGCAAAAAATAAAAAAGTTTAAAAATACTTTTTTAACAATGATAATCATTAGCTGATCATCATAAAGGAACAAAACGTAAAGAGCGATTTGTGTTGGACAAAACTGAAAGAGATAACAGCCAATAATAACAACGAATGCAACTTCGAAAGTTACGGCAGGAAATTGGGGAAATTTCGAAAAACATGTTCTAAATTTCGAATAACATGGAAGATTTTATCAAAGAAGTCGGAGAAACTAGTGACGAAGAGTCACTAAGTGCTTGTAGCGAGGATAGTATTAGTACATTTGATATTGATTGTGATGATTAAAATATTATTATATAATATTTTTTTCACTTATAATAAATACTATTTAATTAATTTTACTCTTATTTTGTTGCGCTGTAAAGAAAATTATCGATATAAATTACGTGGCACGTGATGCCACATCACTAGGAAATCGCCATGTCGACCTGTCGCGTACAATAGGTACTTACTTTTTAATTTTGTTTTAATTTAATAACTTGCGATCGCGCTCTTTTGTAACTTCGCGCCCTTCATTTTCGTTGGTGGTCAAGTGGTGTGGACATGTTATTGAACCGGCAATGTGAATGTCCTAATTACTGTTTTCTTTTTCTAGATCGATCACTTTATTCAGGCTATTGAAATGAATCCGGCAGTCGTCAGCTTAAAAGGCTACGCTCACGTCAACAGGGAACTACTGACATCGGTATGACACCATTATCATATTTTGTGTATGATAATAGTCAAGTAACCATCCTGTCCTGTCTATATCAGTGAAATGGCGGTGTCAGAATATCCACTACCCCATACCGTCCTGTGGGTGTCGTAAGACAAAGGGAAACAGAATTTTATACATCTGATAACAAATCAAAATAATAGCAAACTGTGGTTGCCAACCCGTTTGCCAAGCTTGGCAATTACGTAACATCTCCGCTATGGGTATGGATAATGAAACCGTTATGTCCTATAATGGTGATAACAAAATATAAATATGCTGCCATACAAACCTCCTCAGTTTTAAGTTAATACTAAGAACCTATAGGCTTCCTATAAATGTAGAGAACATTTTGAGGAATACCAGTTTTTTTTGCTCGCACTCCACCAAACGCGTGCAAAATTAACTAAACATGGGGATTCTCTAGCGGTACGACTTTTCTTGAATGTGTATCGAGTTTAATTTACTAATATTTATGTCGGACCGTCGGGAGACGATAGTACTTTACAGCACCAATGGTCAACAACAACAAGCAAATAAGGTAACATAAAAGTAAGTTGATTAAACACAAAAACATCCGTAAAAAATCAAGTTACATTTAATATAATTCATTCAAAGAAAAATATCTAAGCTACATTTTCCATGTTAAATAGCAGATTCGTTGTGTCTCAATACACTCTGCTTTTGAGTATTAAACCAAGTTGGTTGAATACTCAAAGCATACTACCAATTTTTATTTCACTCACTCAGCACATATGTCTTCACAGACTTTCCCATCCGTAAAATTATAGTTCATCATCATTATCTTGTAAATAGAATTATTATTTTTAACAATTAACCTTCTGATGTTGTCCAGATATTTCGGAGATATAAAAAAACACTATACCATATAATATAAAAATGAATAAGTAAAGTAAAAAAGTAAAGTAAAGATACAGCCTATATACGTCCCACTGCTGGGCACAGGCCTCCTCTCATTTCTGAGAGGGTTTTAGGGCAAGGAAATGTCCGCCGCCCAGTGCATGTTGGCGAACTTCACATGTCTTCGAAATATTTTTTTTTCTTATTTCTCAGACATGCAGGTTCCCTCACGATGTTTTCCTTCACCGGCGAGCACGTGGTAAATCAGTACTTAAAATTGCAATTAACAGTTTCATTGGTGCCGGCGGTGATCGAACCCGGTTTGCTCGCGTATTGTGAAATTTACAGCGAGCGCTAAGCATCTGCGCTACCACGGCTCGGCTAAAATGAATAAGTACCAGATTAAAATAGCAGCCTAATGGTACTGTGTTTCGTATGGTACTTAAAATTGCAATTAACAATTTCATTGTTGCCGGCGGGGATCGAGACCCGGTTTGCTCGCGTATTGTGAAATTTACAGCGAGCGCTAAGCATCTGCGCTACCACGGCTCGGCTAAAATGAATAAGTACCAGATTAAAATAGCAGCCTAATGGTACTGTGTTTCGTATGGTGAGTTTAGAGAACCGGAGACTCTTTTTACTGGAACCGAGTAATTCCATCTTAGTCCTCAGGGGTGATAACGCATCTGCATTTTGAATTCTAATAGAGGATAAATATAGATGCCTACGGGCCACAGCATCCATATACCATCAGGTAAATTGTATGCACGTTTGTCAACCATATTCTATTAAAAAAAAATTCAAAGGAAAGCTGTAAACATTATTAACAGACATTGCTAGTAACTATAATCGCGGTTCTCGGTTAAACATTGGATAAATAAACGGCTACGAAACAATTAAAAGGCATTGATGTCGCCTGATGAAGTGTAACAAGAGCTCCGGGAAATCTAACGCTGGCGACACTTTCGCGACATTTATTAAATTCCCAATCGATTTGACGGTAACTTTGAACCTCACCTGAAAGTAACTTATCCACTTTAGTAAAATGTAGTCGTTAGGAATGACAAGGCGAAGGCGTCTTGTTTCAGACAAAATTACATTAATTTTCAATTTTAGAGGCCGATCTGCTTTCAAGAAAGGTTTTATTAAATGAAAATGGCAAAAGTAAAGATATTAAGTTATTTCAACTTCAAAACAAGTACATAAGTGGATTTATTCTGTATATTATGATCACTGTAGTCCATTGACACCCAAATAGGTTGTCAGTTGAAGTATTAAGGTAATGGAATGTTCTCACCATGAGGAAATTAGGAACGTATATCCTTGCCCGTTATTGTTTCTCAGATCTCTAAAGGATTTACTGCTCTATTATGATATCGTTTTCTGGTATACTGTGAGGGCTGTAATGAGAACGTACACCAAATTTTCCAAAAGCTAATCGGATATTCATAAGTTATATTCTTACCGTTACAGCTTACTAAAGTCCACTGGGGAACACGGGCCTCTCCCATAGATTGTATCATGGGGGGATATCTGCCAAACTTGCCACGCTTGGCAAGCGGGATGGTAACGGCAGTTTATTTTTATTTTTAGTCGATATAAGGAAGACGCTCTTGCCTATCTCCCGATTTGTTGGCCTCTGTCAACTCTTATGATACGGGATAATGGGTATAGTTGGGGTAGTGTACATTCTTAAACCACCACTACACGGTATAAAGTTGAACGTTATACGCCGCTAATAAAAATCACTTAACGTTATACGCCGCCAATAATTGCAATACCGAATTTTACAGATTGCATATAGAGAGCGACAATGTTAATTATAAGAAGGCCGACGTGATGAAAATTAGACCTTTAAGTTATGAATTGTGATTTTTATAAACCTATACGCAATACAAGTAGTAACGATAGGTAAATTTGTTGCAGTTTAGGTCTGGAATGTTATTGTTTATAGGTTGATGATAGTAATGTTACGAGGGTGGATTGAAAAGTACTCGGCCTAACCAAGAAAATAAACACATACTAAATCAGTTATATTTTTATTTTTCTACATAATCACCATCAAGTTCAATACACTTTTGCCACCTCCCCTTCCAAGCATTTAGACCGTTGAAAAAAAATGATTCTTCCTTAGAGTCAAAATATGCGTCTACAGCTGCTTTGACCTCGTCGTTTGTCGAAAATCTTTGACCTCCCAAGTGCTTTTTTAGGTTAGGGAACAGAAAGAAGTCTGATGGTGCCAGATCAGGTGAATACGGCGGATGCGGTAACAGTTCAAAGCCACAGTTGTGAATTTCAGCCATTGACTGTACTGACGTGTGAACACGGGCGTTATCTTGATGAAACAGGACTTTTCTTCTGAGCATTCCTCGACGTTTTTCTTTTATTTCCCCTCGTAAACGACGTAGTAAGGTGCAGTAGTAATCAGAGTTTATAGTCTGATCCCTTTCAAGATAATCAATCATAATCACACCTTTCGAGTCCCAGAATACTGAAGCCATCACCTTATTTGCCGACAAAATCGACTTAGCCTTTTTAGGGGGTGGTGAACCAGGTCTTCTCCACTGTTTTGATTGTTGTTTTGTTTCCGGTGTACAGTAATGAACCCATGTTTCGTCCATAGTAACAAAACGATTCAAAAAATCATCTGCATCGGCTTCAAACAACTCGAAACAGTCGCGTGAAATAGTCAATCGCGTCCTTTTTTGTTCAACTGAAAGCAGCTGCGGAACCCACCTCGCAGACACCTTGTGGAAACCCAACTCGTTGACAATGATGTTTTGAGTTCGTTCATAAGAGATGCCTATAATCTCGGCTATCTCTCTAATTTTTAATCTGCGGTCTCCCATTATTAAATCAAGTACTTTTTTAATATTTTCGTCAGTAGTTGACGTCGAAGGCCTTCCAGAGCGGGGTTCATCTTTCACACTCTCTCTACCACGCTTAAATTCTGCTATCTATTTTTTGACGGATGAATATGACAGAGCACAATTGCCTAATGTACTGACCATGTCATCATGGATGGCTTTTGATGATAGCACCTTCTTATGGAGGTACTTAATGACGGCACGCTGCTCGATTTGCTCCATTCGCGGAAATTATGTCCGATTACTTTGTTAATAAATTTATAAAATCACAACTAATTATCGCACACGTTTCGAACTTTACACAATGAACTAGTCTGAACTGAACTAAATAATGTGGGTAGATTTGATTTTTAGAATTGAATGGATCTGTGTTAGACCGAGTACTTTTCAATCCACCCTCGTATAATGTCATCTTTTTGTGGACACTCGACTGCAGTAATCTTTGTTTATTTGCAGGCAATTAGTATGATCGCGATCTACCTCATCGTTCTCCTGCAATTCAAGATTTCATTGCCTAAGGACATACAAACACCTTCTACATAACCATTACTACTACTAGCCTTTATTGGAAAGTCGAGTGACGTACCTTGCACTTTAATGCTTATTTATTTATTAAAAAAATTATGTTTATAAAACTTTAATTTTAACAACAGCAGTTGCGTATACACTTAAAATATATACCTAAGTTTATAAAATATACTTATTTATACTTTTTATTGTAATGAAATATATTTTGATTAGTATCTTATAAAATAGTATTCATTTGTAATTATGTTTTGTATTATGCTCGGATTTCGTACAATTATAATTCTAAATAAAACTTTGTTTAATTATATATATAATTTACTTTTTACTCTTTACTTTTTACTCTCTAAAACTTGTTTGACGACGATTTCTGTGCAATAAACATTTTCGTGAAATTTTAATTTAACTATACTATACTATCGAAAGCAATGACAAAACAACAACTTTTGAAAGTGGTGTCTGTGTGCCTGATTGAACGCGCATCACACAAAATTCAATAAATAGATTTGGATATTATTTTCACTATACTGTTACGTAGAGGTCGAATCTTTAGAAGAAATTTACATCATCATGCTGTCTTTAATATGAGCTGTGCAGTTGGCCTAAATACGTGAATTCACACAATATATACTTAAACCTCTAAAAAATAAAACTAGCCCATGAATTACCACAGCTTACGCCATGAGCCGTGGTAGCTCAGGGGCTCGATATAAATTTCACAGAACGCGAGCAATCCGATTTCGG